GGCCTTCACTTGCAATAGTGCCCATACTTCTAACAACATTCCCGCGAGGAAGGCATCATCCTCACTGACAGATGAGGGAACATCATCACTCAGGTTTAGCAATTTGCCAAGTGTGCATTGCAAATGGTGGGGGACAGGCTTGAACTTGGTTCCAGCCCAGCCCCGTGGCCTTCATGCAGCTGATCGCCATGACCTTGAACTCTACTGCTGGCACTGAGGACTGGAGCATCTCCCTCTGCCACAGCCTCCCCCCTCCACTCATCCCCCCTTTCTCCTACTGCATCTCTTTGCTGTGATCTCTGGAGTTTGCCACTCGATTTTCTCATTTCCCCCCAAACCGTCTCTCTTCTGAATCTTTTTCTTTAATCAGAAGTATGCTCAGATATAGCCCATCTTCAGTGTCCCCTGCCCTCCCTCCTCCTCCTCGCTTCCTTCCCCTGCACAAGCAGGTTACTGTGGAGTTGCCTGCTGTCTCCTCCTCACCCCTCCACCCATTGAATTCCGCCCTCACATCCCCAGTGAGGACGAGGCCAGCAGCTGCGGTCGGACTGGCCCTTTCTGACCTCTACAGAGCCTGGTGCTCGGCTTCCTCTCATGTCCCCTTTGGCTTCCACGCACTGGTCCCACTCCTTCCTGCCAGCAGCTCCTTCCCAGCCTGCGTCAAGAGTACCTCTTCCTCTGAGTAGCTGCCTTTCTATTTTATGAAAGGAGGCAAGGGGCTGCATCCTGGCCTCCAGCCCACACAAGCACTGTTGTGCTGAAGGAAAGCTGTTGAATTCTGTGAAGCTGAAATTCTGCATAAACAGACACATTTACAACTTCCTGTCCATTTAGCTATCAATCATCCTAACAAAGGTAGTACTAATAATAACTTGCACATGGAGCAATTCACAGCTCACTAAGTACTTTCACGTGCCTCTCAATATCCCTATCTATGTGCAATGAAAATATTTTTGTGTCTGCACAATACTAAAAAGGCGCCGTTACATTCGGCTCACGGCCACGGCGTTGGGGGCAGCATGCTAAATGAGCTTTGTTGTCATGTACGGGCATTGCTTAGGCCCTCTGTGATCATGTGCCCCATCCCCCATTCAGTGATTGACAGGGAATTGGTCTCTGGGACAGGGCCAAATGACCCTCGTCATTGTAATGTCATGTGTTCCTGCGGTGTTAGGAGAGGCCAAGGGCTCACCAGAAGATGTGGGGAATCTCTGCGCATGCCGGTTGAGGGAAAGGCCGGGTGAGGCCCAACTGCACGACCTGAGACGGTTGCATTAGGACAAAAGGTGACCAGACCTACCTAGTTTTTGATACCCTATATGGGTCAAGCTTTCTAAAGGAGACTCTCGAGCTTTAAGCCAAGATGGCCAGGGCTTGCCTCTTGTGTGTTTTTCCCAGGAGTTGGTAGAACCTGCTTGGAGTACAATGTTGAGGGGGATTCTGAGGCCCAGCCCAGGCTCCCTGGAAAAGCACCCCTTAATTCGACAGGACTGCCTGCCGTAGGCGTGAAGGAGGACACGCTAAACCCGAGCTATCCAGGGCGTCACTGAGGACGAGCATTCAGGTGGCTTCAGCCATTTCACCAGGCATGGCGCCGGGGTTTCTTTCCTAGTTTTGGCTTGCCGGGACTGTGCTTTGGAAACGGAAAATATTGGAATCCCAAGTCCACACGGCTGAGGACTTTCTGATGTTCCTCAGTGACTCCCACTTGCTTGCGCACCCCACTGGCGTGGGCTGTGGCTGCGTGCTGTGTCCACTCTCCAGGTTCTCTGCGCACGGCTCTTTCTTACCGCGTCTGGGCTGTGCTCAGGTGTCGTGGGGGCTCTCAGGAAGAGCTCACGTCTCTGTGGTGAGTCCTGTCCCTCTCCCCTGCCACTCTGCGCATCGTCAGCTCCCACTCTGTCCCGCCCGTGACTCCCGACTCTACTTCAACCCGTAATGGAAAATGACTCCCGACTCTGCTGGGGCACGCTCACCTGCCCTGGCTGTGGACTGGGTTTGGGGGCTCTCGGCCTGCACGGTACCTGCTGTACCCAAAGCAGCTGGTTTACCTGCCGCTCAGCGTCTGGTGGGCAGTACAGAGCAGTGGGCACCTCTGCCTGGTTTGCCACCAGTTTCAGCTGGAGGCCCAGTCCCCACGGGGAGCAGCTGCTCCCATCAGCACACACACGCTTCAACCAAAACCCACTCTTCCAGAGATAATGTACTACTTCCTCTCCTGAACTCCCACACTTCGGAATACTGTGTCAGGTCATGGCTGGGTAATTGTAAATGGCTGCCAGAACAGTTCGAGCAGGAAGAAAAACAGCACTCACTGCCTCAAGCAGAGCAGCCCCTCTGGCCTGGGCCGTCTTGGCTGCTCGTAGGTTCTGCACCCACCTGCCTTTCACTTTGTGCGCTTTTGCTCTGTGGGATGGTGTGATGCACCGGGCATTGGAGGGTGCCCGAGCTATATTACAGACCTACCCCTGGCGTGCACTGGCACCTGTAGCTCACTTTGAAATGCATTTTCTAAAATATGGGTTGATGGCTGATGGATCGAGGGCCCGACAGAGGTGGCTACAGGAGCAGGTAGCGTACTGACGGTGAGTAGCTGGATGCTCACTGTACAGTTCTTTCACTTGGCTGCTGGTTTGGAAATTTTCGTAATAGAATGTTGGGGGGCGGGATGACCCCCGACAGTGAGCCATGTTAATTTAAAACAGGCTCTTGACCAGTGTGGTCCCTGAGGCCAGAGAGTGAGGGAATTTTGCGATTGCAGCTTGGAGCTGTTTCATTTGGGAAGACTTCCTGTGGGGAGTGGTGTCCTGCCAGCCATGGTTTACACCAGTGCTGTTCATAGACTGGCGGAGAGGAGGGACCGCAGTCCCCTCCCAGGATGAGCTGTGCACCCACTCTCCCCCTTCCCCACAGCCCCAGCAGGGTGCTGCTCTCACCTGTGGCTCACCCTGCACACACCGCACACCAGCACCCACCGCACACCGGCTTCTCGGCAGTTAACCTGCACTGCACAGCCTCCCCCGGCCCTGCCTGGCTTCCCCACCCATGTGGGAGGCTGCCCTGTGCCTCTGCATTGCCGTGCGGTGGGAGGGTGCTCTGGCCCCACACAGTCTCTCTGTGGCTCTGAGCCCCGGCTGAGCTAGTGGAGAGGCTGTTGGCCTGGGAGGGTTGGAGGCCTGGCTGCTCCAGATGGCCTCCCACCACCTGCAGCGCCTGGCACTGCAGAGCTGACAGAGAGGCAGGGGCAGGAACGAGGTGGTGGTGCAGAGCCTCCCTGAGGTGCGGTCCTGACCTGGATTGTGGGTCGCGCTCCCTGGTGGTCTCACAGAAGGTGCTGTGAGACTGACCCGGGTGTGGGAGGGAAATGCAGGCCCCCCCACCCCCATCTGATGCCCATCCCGCCTCTCCAGTCTCCTGCCCGTGTGTAAGGGAGTGCTCAGCAAATACACTCTTCATCCTATAATACTGCCTTAGCAGAATGGCATCAGGAAGTATATATGCTGCAACAATCGTGTTAGGAAGAGTTTTAAAATACAGGTCCCATTTATAGCGCTGCTTTCGGCGTCTGCTGGTGTAGAGAACTGAGAATCCACTCACTGTCAGTCTTCGGGCGGCTGGCAGGTGGCACTCTCCATGCTTTTCACCGCCCATCACGTGTGCACACCCCCTGCTTATACATGCCCGGTGCTCACACTCGTACACATGCCCGGTGCACACACTTACTCTGTCATACATACACTCACACACATGCCTATGTACATGCTTACCCTCACACACATGCCGGGTGCACACACACTAACACATTCGATCCTTTGAGCTGGGCATTTCCCTGCCCGTGCCACGCGCAGAACCTGAGGGATGCCCGCCCCCCTCCTGCAGGCTCGGGAAGGGGTCCCTCCTGCAGAGGGGAGCAGGGTGCCCTCCGCTGGCTCTCATCCTGGTTCGGGCCTGCTCCGTCCCCTTTCTCCTGAGAGGCAGTAGGTCCTGGAGTCAGACCTTGGGCCTGGGGCCAGACTCCCTGGTTGGCGTCCTGGCTTGCGGGCCGCCAGCTGTGTGACCTGCACCGAGCCGCTCCCTTTCTGTGTCTCGGTTTCATCACTTGGGAAGTGAGGAGTGTGGTGATCCCTCGCCCGGGGGGAAGGGGGTGTAAGATTCAATGGAGTTTATGGTGTGAAGCCCGATGCGTGTGTAGTGAGCACTGTTCAGTGTCAGCCACCGCTGCCCTCGGACTGCCCCTCAGTCGCCCACTCTGGGCTGCGGGTGCACAGCCAGAGCAAGAACTCAGCGTCTCACCCAGACCGGGGATGGCAACTGTGTTAGATTCCTACTGAGCGGTACCAAATCCCCACACATCTAGTGACTTAGAACAACACAAACTTATCCTCTCGGTTCTGGAGGGCAGAGTCCGCAGTCATTGTCACTGCGCTGAAGTCAGGGTGTCAGCACTCCCCCCAGAGGCTCTGGAGGAGGGTCTCGGGAGCCTCTGTTTTCCCGCCCTTTGCATCCTCCTACGCTGCATTCCTTGCATTCCTAGGCCACTGCCTCCTCCTCCTCCTTCACAGGCAGCAGTACACGTCCTGGCTCTGTTGGCTGGTCCCCCTTAGCCTTCCCCTGACATGGACCCTCGTGGTGGCACTTAGGGCCCACTGGTACCCCAGGAGAACCCCATCTCAAAATCCATCACTCGGTTGTTCTGCGGTCTCTGTATATGAGGTCCTGTTCTCGGGATGTGGGCATATTTGGGGACCGAGTCACACAACAGCTGAGTCCGGAAGCTCTCTGGGTTCTGTCCAATGGCATGACGTGGCCAAGTTCTGGACCAACTTGGAGCACAGGCCCAGCCCCAGCCACCACACAGCTGCCCTGCCCTCTCTGCCCACCCAGACAGACTCAGAAGGCACAGAGTCGCGTTCTGTTGGACCCCCAGAGCCTGCCTGGCTTGTGGTGGCGCTGGGTGGTTGGTGCAGGCAGGTGATGATGTGCTATGTGTGCCCTTTTAGGACACGGCGAATGTCACTGCGGAGAATGCAAGTGCCACGCAGGTTACATCGGGGACAACTGTAACTGCTCAACAGACATCAGCACGTGCCGGGGCAAGAAGGGCCAGATCTGCAGCGACCGCGGGCACTGCGTCTGTGGGCAGTGCCAGTGCACAGAGCCCGGAGCCTTTGGGGAGACATGTGAGAAGTGCCCGACCTGCCCAGATGCTTGCAGCACCAAGAGGTAATAG